GAAAAGAAATATGTTGAATATAATAACGAAATTTGTGAGCTCCGACGGCATCGAGGGATCGTGATTCCGCAATACGCGGGATCTCGTACTGCAGGATTTCCCCTGCTCCGCAATTATGTGGGCACGGCGGATTCCGTGTCACCCCTTCCCCTTATGTATTCATTGCATTCATTGTCATCAATGTATCAACTTATATTGAAATACCACAAATCATTTTAGTTGGTATTATTAGGAGCATTTTTCATATGTAAACCGGAAGTGCAATGTTTTTCAAAATCGATAGATGTAACATGTCATTACAAGATTCTCAATTTGCTTCTTAGTTTGTATTGTCAAAAATTAACTCGTTCAATTGTTTACAAGTGAAATGTTGCACATACGCTATGATATATGATGCATTTGATGCAAGTATGCCACTTATAGGTACATGGTAATGAAATGTAGAAACTTTGCAAATATTGATTACAAATTACTCACAATATCAGAAATTAAGTAAAAACTTCATTTCAAAAACTGTAGGTTTCTAATTAAGTTAATTTTGTGATCTGTGCTCATTTTCCCTAGAAGCTGTGGGAGTAGGATAGTGTGTAATTGTAAAGATTTGGCGAAAGGTACTTAACAACACGAGCAGTGTGATTTTCCAACAGAATTTTTATGTGCTTTTGAGTAAATTGCCTCAAATGATAAATGCTCTAGTTTATTTTAACTTAGAACACGATTGAACTTTCTCAGAAGGTAGGAGTTCTAGAAGCAAGTTCTTATTGTGAACTTTACTTTTGTGACCTTTATCTTTACTGGATCTACTTGACTCTGTCAATCCAATCTGTTACTTGAAAGGTTGCAGGGATGTAGCAGTTTGTGATGCTATTGTGCATGTATGGGTGAGGGGAAGTGAAGGTAATAATGAGAGTGCGTGTGTCATTGTGGCGAGTGAGGACACAAGCAGGTGGAATGATTATGATGTTTGGGTTGATCATTATTTGGTAAAACAATGTTGATTGTGAAGCACACAATTAGGTTGGCCAGCTTCAGTGGTTTGAGGATAAATATCCCATATAAATGTAGTGTAGAAATATCTATGGAATGTCCTATGGTCATTTGAAGGTGAGAAATAATTTTTTCTATGAGTCTCAATTTGCGTCTTAGTTTCTACCGTCAAGGCATCTAACTCGATCAATTGCTTACAAGTGACATGTTGCACATACGCTATGATATATGATGCACTTAATGCAAGTATGCCACTTATAGGTACATGCTAATGAAATGTAGAAATTTTGCAAATATTGGTCACAAATTACTTGCAATATCAGAAATTAAGTAACAACTTCATTTCAAAAACTGTAGGTTTCTTAAAAACTTAATTTTGAGATCTGTGCTCATTTTCCCTAGAAACTGTGGGAGTAGGATAGTGGCTAATTGCAAAGATTTGGCGAAGGTACTTGACAAAACGATCAATGTGATTTTCCAGCAGAATTTTTATGTGCATTTGAGTAAATTGCCTCAAATGATAAAATGCTCTAGTTTATTATAACATAAAACACGATTGAACTTTCTCAAAAGGTAGGGGTCCTAGAACTTTACTTCTGGGACCTTTATCTTCACTGGATCTACTTGACTCTGTCAACCCATTCTGTTACTTGAAAAGTTGCAGGGATGTAACAGTTTGTGATGCTATTGTGGATGTGTAGGTGAGGGGAAGCGAAGGAAGGTAATATACTGAGCGTGTTTGTCATTGTGGCAAGTGAGGACACAAGCAGGTGGAATGATTATGATATTTGGGTTGATCATTATTTGGTAAAGCATTGTTGATTGTGAAGCACACAATTAGGCTGGTCAGCTTCAGTGGTTGGAGGATAAATATCCCATATATATGTAGTGTAGAAATAATTTTTTCTAGGATAAGGTGTTGAAATTTGAATTATAAAAGATTTTTATTCTTCCATGATAGGTTGCTATGAGAGGAAATTTGGAATTATTTTGTTGAGCCAATCTAACGGGGATGATATAATTTGTTCTATTAAGAAGATTGCTATAAAATTCATAGGAGAGCTTAGAAATAGACCATATATTGATAAAGAGACTTGAAGGACGCGGGGGTATAAAATTATTAAGGAAATTTTTTTTTTTTTTTTTAATGATAGGCTGCTAAGAGAGGAAAATTTGAATTGTTTTGTTGAGCCAATTATACCGTGAGATATAATTTGTTCTGATAAGTAGATTGCTATAAAAATTTTAGTAAAGTTTAGAAATAGCCATATTGATAAAATTTATTAAGGAAAAACTATTTTTTTTAGTGTATCAAAAATTTTGAATACTACTGAGATATACAAGAAATATAATTGTATTGCAAATAATACTAAATGAAATATTAGTTATTATTTTGATAATATATATAATAGGCCCAATATTAAAGAAAGAGAGTGAGATATATAGATTGTTAAGGTTATGGATAAGAGATTTAGAGACCTTGATCAAGTTAGATGCATTTGAAGATAATATAATAGAATGCTAGGTAATGTTAAAATATTATAAAATTGTGGAATTATGAATTTAAAAATTATTAAATAGTTTTTTTATTGAATGAATAATTTTTAAGAGAATAATGAACAAAATAATGATATATATTATAAATTAATTCAAAAAATAAAATTAAGTTTTATTCAGTAATTTTCAATGCTAGAAATCAATATCTAATACTATTTTATAAGGACTTCAAAACTTTATATACAAATAAGAATGATGCTATTTACAGATAAAGATGACACGAGCAATTATAAATTGATATCAACACAATGAGCTTGTGAATATTCAGTTTAGTGGCCACACGTTTGAGCCGTTTAAAGTGGAGTGAACTTTGTAGAAGATGCATGAAGACAAGGTATTTAGGTCCTATTGACGTCTTTTGGGATTTTGGGAGTTATCGAGGAATTTTATAGTGATTTTATTAACATAATTTTTCAATGCATTTTTGAAGACTAAAGAACGTCAAATACCAATTTTTAAGTAAAAATAATAAGTTCAAGATTGTGCCAGCTTTAAAGAAATCAAACATAAATTATGTCATGAGGTGTTGGTAATAATTGAACATAGGCTTAGTAAAGTCACATCTTTAGATAATCAATTTGATTTATTGCCAGGTAAATTTGTTGTGAATATGATTTTCCATTTTAGATAATTTATGAAAGATATATAGCAGATGAATAATTTTCATATGATTTTTAACTGATTTTGAGAAAGATTAATTGAGTACTACAAAAAAATTAATTTGGTGCATGTTAAGGAACAGAGTTGTGCGCTGAATTTTTGTTAAAATTATTAAAGATGTGTGATTGATCATTAAGTTGTATAATGAGTTTGTGAATATTTAGTTTAATGGCCACACGTTTGAGTCAAATTTGCCTCTCTAACTGTTGAATCAAAGAGTTTATCATTTAATGTGGAGTGAACTCTGTAGAAGATGCTTGAAGGCAAGGTTTTTAGGTCCTATTGATGTCTATTTAGATTTTGGGAGTCATAGATTATATCATGGACCACCATCTACACACTCCTTTTTTTATTAGTTCATAAAAGATATCTAAAGTGAGTTAATTTTTTTTTGCACAATACAATATTTTTATTTTGTAAGTGATTCGTTTAAATAAATAGAATCTAAGAAAAATGAAAAAAAATGTTAGAAGTTAGAGGCCTTAGATTTAGTTAAATAAAGTATGAGTATATGATATGTAATTTTAGTGGGTGTGATATAATATTTGTCAATCAATATTATTTGAAGAAAAAAACTGATAACTAGGTTTGATATGTTTAGGTGTCTTTGATCTATTATATTGGATGGATGGGTGGAATCAGATAGGATAGGACAAAATAGATTTTACATGTTTTGGACATGTAATTAATGATAGAATGGATGCATCGTTAAATGAGTAGATAACATTAATGCTGAAGGATTGGGAGGTATTAGGGGTAAATTTGCAAGGTAAACTCTATATAATTTGATCATGAAGGAGAGTTTTGTCACCTTTGACAATGCTGAATGGGAACATATAGAAAATGAGGATTCATCAAGTTGACTCGAAGTAGTTGGATTAGGCTAATGTACACAAAAATTTTCAAAATGATTTGCAAAGAATAGTTTTATTCCCTCTGAAAATACTGAATAGGAATATGTGGAACATGATGATTCATAAAGCTAACTCTAATTAGTTGATTAAGGCTAATGTTAATGGTGATTTTGCTACTTAATGTTGGCTTTGATTGTCTTGTTTTTCCTTCTCAGGTATGACTATCTGCCATCTGCTTTTTTACCTCATGATGTGTTGTGGTTGGCGTCTGATTGCTTCATTTTCATGGTCAATGTTGATGCCACATCTTCGTTGGCCACCCATGTATGATTGGCCTTTGTTTCCTTAATAATATATAGAATCTACAATACATAAATAAATGTTGAAGGGACTTGAAGCATACTTTTCTAAGGTTATTTTTTGACTTTTAACAACTGATACTAACTAAAAAAAGACACTACGCTATTTTAGAAAGCAAATGCGACTTTAAAACTAATTAAACCGTAAGGGCACCCACCACATCATGTTCAAAGTAGATTTACAGAAATGAAATGCGAGTAACTTAGCAGTTTTTTTTGTGAATCTGTTCATTGAAGCACATTTTCCTTCATATATCACCATGATTTTCATGTTTTTTTTTGGGGGTGTCTTTCGGCACCTTTTTTATTTTGAAATTCTCCATGTTCTGGACATATTTTTTATATGCTGTTTTTGTTAATTAAATAAAGATATTCTAGGGCCCTAGTTCGTTTTTATAGTGAATTCCTGTTAGGAGTGAGTTTTGAGAGCTGTATGTAGTCTTTTATGAAAAGAATATTCCTTTATAGCCAGCTCTTTTTAATTTTGTAGGAGTAAAATTAATATAAGAATATTATGTTGGTTTTGTCTTTAATTTTCACAATTAGCACAGTAACCATATTGTTATATTATTTTTCCCTATAGGGAATCTGATATAACCAAAGAGCGTATTGAAAAACTTCTCAAGGCAGGAGCTAATGTTGTTCTCACATCCAAGGGTATTGATGACATGGCACTAAAGGCAAGGTTTTCTCATCCTAGTTATTATCTTTTACATTTTTATTGTGATGAAAGTCAATTTGCATACATAAAAATGTTTGGTACCTTTATAGTTTCTCTCCTTACCAAGCCACACCATCTTTCACATGACAAAGTTTTCTAAGGTTAAATTAAAATAAACACTTGATATTGTAAGATTGATTTGTTTTGGTTATGATGGTAAATTGTCCAAAGTCACAGCTCTTTACATATTTCTACCTCGATAATGGTTTTAGTTTAATGTAGTGTTATGTTTCGGTAATGCTTAGCGCTCTCTATTCTATTCTGAGAGAAGCATAATATTTTGTAAATCTATATATTATTACAACTTATGGGATATGCTTCTTATACAATTCATTACTTTAGTTAAAACTCTACTCATGCATGTAGACTAAATAATTAGGGATGCCTTTTAAGATGGCCAATTTTTCTCTGAAATTTAAAATACCCCAAAGCCATCTAGGATTGTCACCCTTTGCTTGAGCTTGATTTATTAATCAATTTCTAGCTCTAAGTTCGGAAAGAGAAAATAATATTATTTTAAGTTATTGTTATAATAAAATGACAAATATAATAAGTATTTAGAAGATAATCAATAAAAATCACTTGATATAAAATATAAAATATCTAATTTTAAATATTTTTAATAATTTAATGATAACTTTAAATTTTAATTTATTTTTGAGTATATTTTGTACTAAGTATTTATTAAATGAGCTGACTCATGAGTTATTGAGTCGAGTTGGGGCTGGCTTGAGCTTAGCTTGTTAGCTCGTCGAGCTCAGTTCATGAGCCACTTATCGAGTCGAGCTCGAGCCATCTCATGAGTCAGCTTTGCATAGTTACAACTCTAAAGCCGTCGAACAAGACTTCTTTATAGAGTAGTTTACAGTCACAACTGAGGTGCGTTTGTTCATAAAGCTAGAGTGGTAAGAGGCATGGGGTATGCTGTGAGAATTTTCTTGAGCTAACCATGTCCAAAACACTCCTGCAGAAGGTATAGTTTAGGTTCGTAGGTCTGAACAAAGATGATGTGCATTTGATAACGGAAAAGAATGAAAAATACAAATTCTCGAGGGTAGATAGAAGCAGTGGGCTATAGAGAGGGGTGTGGAGGTCTTGATTTTGCCACAAGTGGAGGTGGTGACCAGATGAAGGGTTGAATGCAGTGGAGGCTAGAGAGCGGGTGGCATTGTCTGGAGGGAAAGGGAGAGGGGAGGGGAGGACATTGTTAATGAATGAGTGAGGCCTCACCTTTTGGCGGTGATGGTGTTGACTTTTAGGAAGCACAAATGATGCACTGTCAAAGATTCTTGTTGGAATAGCTTTTAGAAAATAGAATTATGATTATAGGAGCCGTTGTTAAATGAAAGATTGTGGATTTGTATCTTTCAGTCACATGATGATATCCTGTACTAAATAAGGTCGTATTATTTTCTTCTTAGGTTGGGGCTTGACTTAAAATATTGGTGTATGATAGAGATTTTAGTTTGAGCTTGACAAGATTTTGTGGTGCATTGGTTTTAGGAACCTTGATTATCATATGACTATCTTACACAAGTAATATAGAGCATGAGTAAAAATGTCCAGGACCTGTTTTCAAATCTCTATTGAACCGCATATCTCATTAATGTTTGACTTATTGGCCTTAAATTATATTAGCATTGACATTTGACTAAATACTGTTTTCCCTTGAGTCTCCCTTAATTTTTGTGCCAAATTTTGCATATTCTACTTATTTTTTAACCTTTCTTTTGAATCTACTGTATCCATTGCAACCGATTGTTTTCTCTACTAGCTGACATCAAATTTTCCTTTTATAGTACTTATTTATTTTACAAAATGTTCCGCCTGAATTTCTACATAAATATTATACATATTTCACTAGGCATTTACCTCAAATATTGTGATAATTGAACTTACCATCTAATGCCTATCTTCTGTTTTTTGGTGACATGGAATAATATGCCCTTATTATAGCTCTATGCTGCAAACTTGACCTATCAGGGCTGTCTTACTGAAAATAACAATCTCTTATGGTTTTGATGCAAATCAGTGATCATTTGATGTTTCTTGATCAAAATGCATGAATAAAGAAGATGGGCAATGAAAAGAGTTAACTGTAGCAGAACCCTTAAAGTGATATCATATAGATTTTGAAGTATGGGAATTGATATAGCACGCATTAACACACACATTAAATGCAAGAAATGAGTTATGCTTGGTGAATGACAATCAAAGCTTTTGAAGATGATTTAGTTTCTTGTCGAGTTATTAACCCACTTTAAAAGTTCCTTGCATTGTTTGATGTATGGTGATCTGGTGTAATTCTCAAAGATTGGTTGCTCTAGATTACATATGAACATAGTTTGTTGTTATATGCAAAACTTTGTCGCACACCCGCACAGATGATAATTTATGAGAAGGTAGAGATTATTAGGTTTCAACTGCATAATATTTGGAGGTGGTGAAGGTGTGAAAGGACAAATGTTAGTAAAGATGGTTGTTGTGGGAATCAAGATTTGCACGGATGATAATTTATGTGAAAATAGAGATTATTAGTATTTCTACTGGCACAATATTTGGTGGTGGTGAAAGTCAGAGAAAGAATAAGGGTTATTGGAGATGGTTGTTGTGGGGATGGTGGATGGTGGAGAGTGTCGTTGTGGAGATGCAAGTGACGAATCAATTGGAGAAAGTGGCGGTGATGGAGATTGTGGTGGATTAAATGGCAGTTGAGATATTGCTGGAGATAGTGGAGAAGGTTTGAAAGGTAATGGTGGTGAGATAGTCGAAGAAGGCGAAGGGTTGGGTGGCATTGGAGGTGGGGAAGGCAGTGGTGGTGGAGGAGATTCTAGTGGATGATATGTCGTTTGATGATGGAGATGAAGAAGATTTGGAAGGCAACATTGATGAGATGATGAAGAAGGGAAAGATGATGGTGATGGATGTGACAATAGTGCTTGCAAAGGAGATGGTGACGACAAAGATGATGAGAGAATAAGTGTTAGCGGTGAAAATAATGTGGTGGTAAGAACAAAACGAAAGTTGCAATAATAGTGGACCAAGATCTATCATGTTAGAGCCTTGGAGATATTGGAAGTAGTTGTGTTTAACCTGTTTGAGCCTAGCAAAGAGATGTGGGTATTACTATTTAGTATGTGAGATCTTAAACCTCATTTATACTTTGCTATGTGAATCATCAAAATTTTGACAAATGTTGGAAAGTACCTCAATCAACAACAACAAATAAGTCTATCCCACTAAGTGGGGTTGGCTACATAAATCCTTTTTTTTTTTTGCATTGTGTTATATTTTCTTTTAATTCTAATAAATTAAGATCATTTTTTATACAACATGCCCAAGTTCTTTTAGGTCTACCTCTATATTTGTTAACATAATTCAAATCTAAAACATCTACTTTTCTAAATGATCATCAGATAGTCGACGTTTAATGTAACCAAACCATCTAAGAAGACTTTCTCCAATCTTCTCTGCCAGATATGTTACTTTTATATTTTGTCTCTAAGTGCAGAGCCATTTATATACCTAAGCATTCTTATCTCAACAACACTTAATTTTGTTGTATGCTTCTCTTTTACAGGCAAACATTCTTTGTCATATAGCATTGCAGGTCGCACCACCATCTTTTAAATTTTTGCTTTATGTCTGAGTTGTACTTTTCTATCACACAATAGGTCGGATGCATTCCTCTTCTTCAACCATCCAACTTGAATTTTACTAATATCATCCCCATCTATATCGCCATCGCTTTGAATAATAGACTCGAGATATCTAAAGTGTTCACTTCTTTTAATGACTTGATCACCTATTTTTATAACCATGCCACTAGATCTAACTAAAATTAGATTCAATGTATTTAGTTTTAGATGTACTCAAACGAAAGCCTCTAGACTCTAAAGTTGACCACCATAATTCAAGTTTTTTCTGAACTCTTTCTCTAATCTTATCTACAAAAAAGATAATATCATCAAAAAAACATACACCAAAGTACATCCTAATGTAAATATCCAACAAGAACATCCATAACTAAAGCAAAAATATATGGACTTAAAGTTGATTTTTGATGTAATCCAACTAAAATAGGAAAGTAGTTGGTTAATCCTTCTTCAGTTTGAACACAAGTAACAACTATATTATATATCTTTAATGAATTGAATATAAGTCATATCAACATTTTTCTTTTCTAGAACTCTCCAGATAACTTCTCTTAGAACCTTATCATATGCTTTCTACTACAACAATAACAACAACAAAGCCTTAATCCCACTACGTGGGGTCGGGTATATGAATCCTTTTTCTACATTGCGTCCTATTTAGTGTCATATTTTCATTTAGTTCTAGTAAATTAAGATCATTTTTAATACAATAAGCCCAAGTCTTCCTAGGTCTACCTCTGCCTTTCTTAACCCAAGTCGAATCTAAAACATCTACTTTCCTAATCGGATCATCAAATGGTCGACTTTTAATGTGACCAAACCATCTAAGATGACTTTCTCTAATTTTGTCCGTTACAGGAGCCACACCAACCTTATTATGGATATATTCATTTCGCATTTTGTCTCTAATTGTAAAGCCACTCATCCACCTAATCATTCTCATCTCGACACACTTAACTTATTATTATGCTTCTCTTTTAAAGGCCAACATTCAACGTCATATATCATTGCAGGTCTTACGATCGTCTTGTAAAATTTTCCTTTTAGTCTAAGCGGTACTTTTCTATCATACAAAAGGCCCGAAACATTTCTCCTCTTCAACCACCAACTTGAATTCTACTATTAATGTCCCCATCTATATGCTTTCTAAATCAACAAAAGTGATATGTAGTAGATCCTACTTACTCTCTGTAATTCTCCATCAAACCTCTCGATAGCTTTCATAGTAGACTTACCCAGTATAAATCCAAATTGATTTTGAGAAATCTTTGTATTACGTCTTAACTGATGTTCAATTACTCGCTCACATAATTTTAATTTTAATGTATGAAAAGTACCACAATCCTTGGATTTAAATTCCCTCTAAACCGAAGGCGTCAAATTTGCGGGGAATGGAATTTTTCACATATTATTTTGGTTCTCTCTCTCTCTCTCTCTCTCTCTCTCTCAGATAATTTTATTAATATGAAAAGGGGTATAAATAACTCTTACATAATTCCTAGAATCGAAAAAATAATAAAAAAAATAATAGGAAATGAAAGATATAACTCGTAATATTTCTAATTAATCAATTTATGATATTTGTTTGGAGATAAAGGAAACAACATAAAATAGGAAAACTAAAATTAAGAAATGAAATAAATCTAATCTAAAAAAATAATTTTTTTCTCGTAACTTCTCACAGTAATAAATTATTTCCTAATATTCTAACATTCCCCCTCAAGTTGAAACATGGTTGAAAATCATGTTCAATTTGGATTTGAAAACATCAAATAATGGGCGGTAAGATCCTGTGAGGTAGAACTTGAAATTTTCATCTCATATTTTTTTTTTACTGCGTTTTCTGCAGTGTCTGTAAGTAAGTGAAAGACTCTTATAGGTAATGTTGCAGTGGAGTAGACAACAACAATTGTCTTTGACTACAGCTCCTGCAATTTCTGTAGGTAGACGGAAGACTCCTACATGTAATGTTGTATGAGAGTTTGCAGGGAAGTACAAAACCGTTGTCTTTAGCTGCAGTTTTTGCAGTGTCTGTAGATAGGCATAAGAATTTTACAAGTAATGTTGCAGGGGAGTTTGCAGGAAAGTAAACATCATGTAGGAAAAACTAATTTCTAGTTGACTGCGGTTGTCGTTGGCTGCAGTTCTTACAGTGTTTGTAGGCAAACATAAAGCTTCTACAGGTAATGTTGTAGGGGAGTTTGCAAGGAAGTAGACAACCTTCAGAACTTGCAGAGAGAAAAGAAAAAAAGAAGAAAACTTCAGAGAAGGATCTGCTGCAGTAAAAATCTCCGGAGGAGGACTTGCTGTAGGGAAAGCTCTGGAGGAGGGCTTGATAGAGGAAAGAAGCTCCTAATATTATTTCCTAATATGTACATCAAGCCCTCCAGAGTTTTTTGGCTCTAGAAATGCAGATATTAGTAAAAGTCAGCTTTCATTGGATGTCAACTAACCCACTATGGCTGAAGTCAATAATTTTATCTTTCTAGAAAGTGAATTTTTCTTAAAGAACAAAATAAGTTTCTGTAGTGTTTAGGGTCTGGTTACGATCATAATGATTTCCAATTTGTAACTTGTTCACCTTTTAAATCTTGTTAATTTGATAGAAAAAAAAGGCTAATTTGAAATCTAGTTGAAAGGTGGTTGAAATAGTTTCTATTAAAGAGAGGATTGTTGAAATTATATTTAAGAGAGTTGAAATATACAATTAAGGGTAGAAAATACACCCATTAGACTGGAAATAAAATTAATATGTCAGGATTAGGATGGAGAAGTGATAGATTTTAGATAACATGGGTAAAAATTCTCCAAAAAGATGCTTGAAAAATAGGTTTAATGCCTCATGAAATACCTAACATTTATTAATGCAAAATGAGGATGCATAGAGCCGATAATATTATAACTCACACACACACTCACACACAAAAGTTGCTCTTCGATAATAGATCTTCATTTGATTTTAGTATTTATAACCAAGTTAGATATTTTTAATTAATTTCCAATGTCTATTTCGTCATTGAATTACTGACTTTTGCCAACGTTAATTTTAACATTTAATCACGTTTGCTTCATTATCAATTTTCTATAGTTATATGCTCATAGAGCAGTAATATGCATGCGGAAATATCAATTTGACTGATGGAAAGCCTTCTGATGGATTATTAATTTTTTTTAAATGTAATCTCAGTATTTTGTGGAGGCTGGGACGATTGCTGTTCGACGTGTTCGGAAGGAGGACCTTCGTCATATTGCCAAGGCTACTGGGGCAACAGTGGTATTTTTCTGTCTAACAAAATGATTGTTTAATTCTCCCAGTAGCATTTTTAAATTCGTTCTTCTAAGTACGTGCCTGCAAATGTGCATTTTGACCGATGTCGTTATCTTTTTTATGTTGATTAAACTGTAGCCTTTCTTGATTTTTCCTGTTACTGTATTCTTTTCATTTCAGTTCCTATTGTTGAAAATAAATTAGCACTGGAATTTGATGGGGTTTACTACTGTGCATCTTTGGCTTCTTAGAAATTGAAGTATGGTGGATATCTTTGAAATTGTGCGGCTTTCCAGTGGCTTGCTTGCTAAAATGATCCTACTAAGATTTTGAATGGGTTGAAGGGCAAGAATAATCATGCACATATCGGTTGGCTTGACCGCTAGATTGTTTTTTTTCCTCTTGTATGGATTGCCTGACTAGACTGGTGCTTTATTGTTGAACTTTTTTTAGGAGGATTTAAATACATACCAATGAATTCCCAAGTATTTACATATCTAACACCTAAACTTCAATTTTTACATATATGCCACCCATTTTGTAAATGCCCGTGAGGCTTTTTTTTTTTTTTTTTTTTTTTTTTTTGGTACGTTCCGTTCGTTTGGTAACCTTTTTGCTTCTTTAATGCAACTTGCAATATTTAAAGAAAATGTGTATTTTATTTTTAAAATTAAAATAGTGATATTTTTGTTGTGATATAAATGATTTGGTTGGTATAAATGTAAAATATAAAGCTTAGGTGTTAGATGTATCAATGCTTAAAAATCGGGCGGTATGTATGTAAATGCCCCTTTATCTTTTTTGTTTGCTATTTTCTGGGTTCGCATGGTTCACTTTGCAGCTTAAATCCACCTTTACGAGGGATTATTCAGTTATCTGGTTGGCCGTGCAGGTTACCACATTTGCTGACATGGAAGGAGAGGAAACATTTGATTCATCATTCCTTGGGCAGGCGGATGAAGTTTTGGAGGAGCGTATTGCAGATGATGATGTAATTATGGTTAAAGGCACCAAAAACACAAGTGCAGTGAGTATATATTTGGCTATATTTATTTCCACTTCATGATTTTTTATTGTAATATTAAAAATTGTTAATGTTTCAGGTCTCATTGATCCTTAGAGGTGCAAATGACTTCATGCTTGATGAGATGGATCGGTCTTTGCATGATGCATTATCCATTGTGAAGAGAACTCTAGAGTCTAATATGGTATTGCTTACACTGAATCCCAATATTTTATCCAGTTCATTTTAAATTGAAATCTTTTATGACAAATTTATCTCTCTTCCTTGAAATTACATTTCTGCACTGATTTTTTTTCACTGGATTGTGCTCGTCTAACCTGAAATCTTAGTATTGCAACCTTTAAAAAATGCAGTTCTTGATCAGTATAAATTGAGATTCCCTTTAGAGTTTTTCTTATTTTTTATATCAGTGATTTTTAATGGAGACTTTTCAATTTTGTTACTGCAGGTTGTTGCTGGTGGTGGTGCTGTGGAAGCTGCTTTGTCTGTGTACTTGGAGAATCTTGCCACAACACTTGGTTCTAGGGAGCAGCTGGCAATCGCAGAGTTTGCTGAGTCTCTTCTTATTATACCCAAGGTGCTTATTTTCATTTAGTATTTTTCTTTATTTTTGTAGATTTTTTTCTTATGATAGTTGTTTTTACTATTATTGTTGTTTTTTTTTTAATTCAGGTACTTTCTGTGAATGCTGCAAAGGATGCGACGGATTTAGTCGCAAAACTTCGTGCATATCATCATGCTGCTCAAACTAAAGCTGATAAGCAACATCTCTCCAGGTATCACCGAATTATTGGTTACACTTTTCCTATTGAAGTTTAAATATTTCCTATTTCTTTTATTTTCAACCTTTCTTTTTGGGTTTACATAAAGTGAAATTTGAATTATCTGTTTTAACTGTTCTAAAAAATTCCCCGTTGCTGGTGCAGAAATCATGAGTTGAACTATTTCTTGTTATTAGTTAATTGATAAAAATTATGGGAATAGAAACCTATACCAAATTTTTTATTAATTGAAAGGACTGCACAAGACTACTTGCTGATTAATATTCATGAGCTCAATTATAAATAAGGCGAACGCAAAGGCTAGTTACGTGCAGTTCCGGTAGGGAGTCATATTTGAGCCCGTTTGGGGCAGCTTATAAGTGCGGCGGTGTTTTTGAAAACGCCGCCTAACCTTCTGGTCTGTGTGTTTTTGAAAACGCTGTCTGTCGCGTTTGTGTTTTTTGCACTAAACGCAAGTCGCGGGTCGACTCCCGCGGTCGATCCGCTGGCCGCGTTTCAGAATAAGCTACTTATCTTGAAACGCACAAGCTGCCCCAAATAAACCCTCAGTTCGAGAAAAGTGTCAAAATGGCCATCTGATTCGTTGTAGGGGGTCGTTTTTGTTCTGGAGTTTATAAAAGTGTCAAGTTAGTCCCCAAACTATTTTCATGGGGGCTAAATTAGTCATTAGTGACTATTTCAGCCCACATCAAAAAGTATGATAACTAATTTAGCACTTTTATAAACTCTGGAATTATGATGGCCCCATGTAGATAGTTAGGGGACTATTTTAACACTTTATTTATTTGTTCCGGGAAGCTGGTAGAGTGCATAATGTATCAATATTCTTAATTTAAAAGCTCTCAGATATGAACTGGAAATATCTTTATATTCTAACCGTGCACTAAAAAGTTCGAACCATGAAAAATTGTGTTACGCAGCATTTATAGTGAATTTCTGTTTGCATTTATAGTGAATTTCTGTTTGCTATATAAATGACTATCTTTCTGTGATTTTGCAGCATGGGATTGGAGCTTTCGAAGGGCACCATACGCAATAACCTTGAAGCAGGAGTAATTGAACCATCGATGAGCAAAGTAAAGATTATACAGGTAATAAACATTCAAAACCTTCTTAATTCTGTGTCATTAAGAATAATAATAAAGTGCTACATTAATTACGTATTTATTGATGGCTTATGTTCATTTAATTGTTTATGTTCTTTTCTTTTCTCTGGTGCCAGTTTGCTACAGAGGCAGCCATAACAATTCTGAGAATCGATGATATGATTAAGCTAATTAAAGATCAACAGGAGGGTGAAGATTAAGCCAGTCGAAGATTTACCTGGCGAATTAAGATGTATTGTGGTTGTTGAACAGGATTAACAATTTTGTGTCAGATTCATTTATATGTTTAGACTAATTTATATTAACATAAGGTTTTGTCTGTATGAAAATTAATAGGGCATGGAGGAGACATTTTTTTGCTTATAAGCTGGTTTGTTTTGTTCTTTTAACTTAGGCGTAGCTGCAACTTCTCAACTTCTCAGCTGTAGCTGTACTGCTCCAGGAAGTTGTTGCGGGGAAGCTGACTGTCTATTTGTTGCAGCTATGTGAGAACAACTGTGAGGTAACTGTTTTTTGGAAAAATGATCATTTTGTCTCTATTTAGTGAAGCTATTTAAAATAGAACTATAACAACGACATATTTGATAATTCAGAAGAAATTCATTTAAAAATATAACAAAAGTACAAATACATCACTCATTTAATAATGAGTATCAAAAGTGTTAAGAAAGTTTTGCTTTTCACATGTATACCAATATCATCTTATAACATAATTAATAAAAAGCATTCAAGTTGTTTGTTGATTTAAAAAAATGATTATCATGAGACTAATTAATTAGGCATAATTCAAGAGGCTCTCAAGTACATAATTAAAGTTAAAAAATAAAAAGGACAATTGAAGCAAGATAACAAGCAAAGTGTACAAAAATACAAAACAAAATTTAGAAGACAAAAATACAAAACAAAATTTAGAAGAAAAGCGGTTATCTCAAAATTTTAGTTAAATAAAAATTTTTTATTGGTGATTTATGTTGCAATGCTTTAGGAAAAAATGTCAAATAGAATTGAATATTATTCCAGTTGTTAAAGCTCTCAAAGCTAATGCGAAATATATAGCTCTCGAGCAAAGAATTAGATATCTTATATAAGACAAAAAAATACTTGCTTAAAGCTACAAACAAAGAGAATGTTAAAGTTCAACTATAAATAAGCAAGACACTAGACAATTGTCATTACGGCGAAAAACTTGAGATAAAAGATTAAGGACTTAGAAATTATATCCTAAGAATGAAGAGAATGTAGTATATTTTTCAGCAGGATGATTAGCAAAGGTTTCGGCTGACAAAGCGGAGTCCATAGTAGTGTACAAAGCAAATTTCCAAGTAGCCAGAATATAACCTACTTTAGTATTCAAAAGTATGTTTTACATCCGCTTACCTATTTGCAAAAGAAAGCTTTAGGGGAAATTTATTTGAGAAATAATTATTACCATGGGTTACAATTTTTGTTTATTATGATCAAGCTTCTAATGTTAGGAATTTGTTAATGGGATAATTTCTTGGTCAAATCATATGCCCTTGAAGCATTCTTCAACCTTTCTTACTCTTTCTGCAAAAAAAATTGAACCCAATAAACCTCTTCAACTTTTGATGAGTTCGACAAAGTTCTCAATAAAATCTCATTAAAATATATTTACAGTGAAGAGCAGAAGGGGCGAATGGAGCGAGAGAGGGGAATAACAGTTCTCAGAGTATAATTTATAGAAGAATAACAGTTATGAATGGAGAAGAGAGAGGCCATTGGAGAGCAGAAGGGGCGAAGGAGAAGAGGAAGACATGGCAAGCTCTGCCGCCGATGTGCGAAGGAGAGGCCACTGGCTGCAAGGATCTAAGCTAAGCCGATGTCTTTGGCATTTTCACCTTAGTAGCAACCTTCGGTTTCCATTATTGTCTTCCTCAACGATCCACTGTTCACCCTACCGACAGTCCTTCACACAGGGCCGCTCCTTCGCTGTGTTGTCCGCTCCTTCACACGATGCCGCTCCCCTCTGCTTCTCTCGCCATACAAACGCGAACACTTTTCTGATGGCACCGACGAAGCCCGCCACCGAGAAGAAGCCGACGACTGAGGAGAAAAGGATTCGGTGAGAGAAATAACGAAGGAGGGATTGAATGGAGGGGTACGTGAGTAAAAAATCGAAAGGGTAACACGGGTCGCGGGGTCTCACCCGCAGCCGGCGTTTCCCTCAACTTTGTGACCGACGCAGGGGAAATGCCGCGCCAAACAACTTTAAACTGCAGCCTCCAGTCGCACCGCGCAGAGTCAGCCGCGCCAAACGGACCCTCAATGGCTAACACTTAAATTCTACCCTTTATGTTTTAGATCTACTAAATCTTTCTATTAAATAAAAAAATATCACTCTTTTAATTCTTAAAAAGAAAAATACACCCTTTCATACATCGATAAGATGGTATATATTTAGATGTTAGATATGTGATTGCGTAGGAATTGACTGGCATGTATATAAATCTTCCTATTAGAATTCATGAATTGAAATTAAAGCATACTTGGTTGATTTTACTATAATGTGAAATTAATAAACCTACAAATAATATGCATTGTTTTAAAAAAAAAAAAAGGGGGTTTAGCTATGATTTTAGAATTTTGTGTCGTAAATATATATGGGACACTACCCAAAGGAAATAATCATGCAGTTTGCACTTATATAATTGAAATGTATCAAAAAAGAATTATATTGATTTGCACTAGAATATCTAAGTGATGAACCGGATGACATTAAAAATGATTCGATTAGAGATCAGGTGAGCTCGAATCATGCACTTAAAGTACAGTAAAAAGATTTGAGATATATTTTGGGGGATCAAATGATCTTCAAATCTAAAAAGTTTATAATCAAATTAAATGTCTCGACGAGATAATCAAACGAACCCAAAGTCACTTATTTTTTATATCATTAAGGTACTTAAATGCTTATAAAATTACATCCAATCATTAGAATCTCTCTGAATCTTCCGATAGAGTGGTTTGAATTCATGCAATACTTAAAAAAGATGACACTAAGAAATCTATAAATAGACCCTTAATCTCTTAATGAGGGGGGGTCGGGCGACACGAGGAAAAGGCTAAGGAGCTTCAAGCTCTAGTGAGTTCCCGAGCTCTACAACCATCATCTACCAGTTGAACCATCATCATCTAGCCACCGAACTACTATAGCTTGACCACCAGCCATTGTCCTTAAAGTATTCTCGACTATAGCTTGACCACCGACCATTGTCCCTAAAAACAGATTCTCGACATCCAAATATTATCACTTCAAGTTATTCTTATAAATGTAAAAAATTCTACCAATATAATTTATGTCGTACATACAATCCCTAGCTGGATTTATACTACTTGTAGACGGGGAAGAAACCAAAACCTCAAAAGTACATAAATAATCAATTTTACCTTTAATTTGGGATCCGTGTGACATTTGTCCTTTCGCAATCGGGGTACAATCGATCCCAAGGGGAGTTGATTCGACTTCTTCCAAACAGGTTAATGTCGCCAATTAAGAATCTGAAGAAATCATTGCTATGCCAAAAACCATTGTTGGACTTCCTCTGACCTCATCCATACAGGTTAACACCACTAAGTAACACAATGACAAACAACCTTGGATAAGTAAAAAATCATTGATGGATTTAATAACTCTTCCATACATGATGATTTTGTAGAGTAGTACTCCAACCAACAATGTCAGATAGGTTAAATATCCTTGGTGGATTTTCTTACATCTCTTTTGCAAATGTTAACGTCATTGTGTAACACTTTGACAAACATCCACAAATACGTCAAACGTACTTTGATCTCTTCTAAAGAAGCTAATGTCGTAAAGTAATACTTTGACAAACAACTTTAGATAAATCAAACATCCTTAATGGATTTCATTAGACCCTTTCAGATAGACTAATATTGTTGAGTAAAACTTCAACAAATAGCCTCATATTGGTCAAATAGATGGATTTCTTTTAATCTCATTATGGCATGACAACCACAATGTTGCTTGTGTATCATTATTCGCCTATCATACTTCTGTGGTCACCTAAATGCAATTTGCATAAACTCTTCTACTGCTTGGCTATAATCATTTGACAATAATTTTCACTCTTCAAGACATATAATGATTTAATATACTTGGGACACTGATGTACGATAATCGTCACTACAGCCATCACCATCTTCAGGCTAGAGTCACCTGATTGAGACCTATGCTATTGCCAAACTACCCTGGCTCGACCACTGTAGTAGTCATCGGATCACCGTCACACGGTGACACCTGTAAATTCCCACCATAATTACTTAGCCAACAAAGTTGCTGCCATTTGTTGGATCTCCGTCTCTAGCTATTGTTGTCATACCACCATTGATCGATTAATGTTGATGGAACACAACCATTGTTGATGGACTATCATTGCCTTGTCAATGGAGCAGATGCCACTATCACTACTAGATCACCGAAATCGGACAAACGTCGAGCTAATACCTTCATCATCATCGGGTCACTTTCGTTGTTGTTACGCCATCCTTGCTTGACCCCCGCTTCTATGGTGAACCATCATGGTTAGGCTGTTGCCAACTAGGACCACCACCACCTGAGCAAATTCGAGTCACTTTTGTGGCCACCACTATGTTGCACCATCTTCAAGTTGTTGCCATGATGTACCACCATCATCGGGACACCAAAGTGATAGGGCCACTATTGCTCAGCTGATGCCCCGTACTCATCAATTTATGATTGGCTAACAAAAAAAACTGCCAACACCATTGACTTCTTTGCAGGATTACCATCTCTCAGTCAGCGTTAAGAATATTATCATTTGATTGAAACTATTAGATCAGTAGCCTTTGTAGCTACAACATTGTTGCTTCAATGTCATTGGAGTTGTTGTTGTCATCACAAGACCACTTTGATCTCATTTGGGTCACTATTTCTCGAACCTCATTGTCATCAGACTACCCTCATTTATTGGCCGCCAAATCATGTGATTATTGTCATTGCCATCACCACTGTCAAGCTGCTATCGTTAGACCATCAACACCAGACCATAGTCATTATTCTGGCCTATTGTAGTTAGGGTTGTGAATGAGATGGATCAAAATTGAATAAAAATTTTATTAGATGGATCAAAACCAGCTCGTGGATCGATTCAATTCATTTCAATTAGATCCAGAACAAAATCACTCAATTTACAAGCCGACTCGAATTGTAAATGAGCCCGCTCAATTTACGAGCCGGCTCAAATTGTAAACGAGCCATCATCTAGCCACCGAACCACTATAGCTTGATCACCAGCCATTCTCCAGATCGATTCGGCTTGAAAACTTGATTGAATCAGCTCAAAAATTTGATCAAGCTGGCT